CGTCTGCCTGGTTCATGCAAATTTGATGGTATCCTGAAAAATAGTCCAGGAGTGACAATAGCTCGCAACCGGCTGCTGAATCGACGAGGGTGCTTATTCTTGGTAATGGGAAATCATCCTTAGGGCAGGCTTTGTTTAGGCCCGTGAAATCGACGCACATTCTCCACTTGCCATTTTTCTTTTTGACTAGCACGATATTTGATAGCCAAGTTGGGTATTTAATCGGTCGGATGACCCCCGCGTTGAGCAATCTTTGGACCTCCGCCTTGCTATCTGCTTCCTTTGTTTAGACATTTTGCGAAGCTTTTGCTTGATCGGGGGTGATTTTTGTCGATGTCAAAGATGTGCTCAATGATGGACCTATCTACCCCTCGGAGGTCCTCTACGGACCATGCGAAGATGTCGTTATTGTCACGCAGGAAATGGATGAGGTTGGCCTCGGTTTTGCCATCTAGCATAGCAGAGATGATGATCTGCTTGATGGTGTTACCTTCGAATAGTGGTGCTTTCTTGGTTTCTTCTGCTGGCTTTGCCCTGACTTGTTGTTCTGGTTCATTTGGCGAGGTTATCTTGACTATTGGCTTTTCTTTGCCTAGGTTGTGTATATTTTTCTGCCCTAGGGTGGCTATTTCTTCTGCTATTCTTGCGAGGTCTTGGTTGCCGTATACGGCAATGACACCTCTGGCGGAGGGTAGCTTCATACAGAGATAGCCCGGGTGGAGGACTGTGCAGAAATTGTTTGTGACCCCTCATCCAAAAATTTCATTGTAGTTGTATAGCATGTCAACTACTTCGAAGGTTATGTGCTCTGTCCTGTTGTTGCTTTGGTCGCCAAAGATTACTGGGAGTGTGATTTTACCTATGGCTTTCACTTGTTTGCCCCCGAATCCGTATAGCGAACTTCCAGTCGGCTGTAGAAGATTTCTATCTAATTTCATGTTGTCGAAGGTTGAAGCGAATAGGATGTCAGCGAAGCAGCCAGTGTTGATGAGGATCCTTGTTACTGCCCAACCAGCCAGATTTGTCTCGATGACCATGGCATCGGTGCGAGGGTAATCTTTTAGTTTGAGATCTGTGCTGTCGAAGGTTATTGGGATGTGAGACCATTGCAAGTTCTTGTGTGGCCCTTCGGTGGCTACGTGGTATACTCGCCTCATATGCTCTTTGTGCCATCTCTTATTGCCGTGATCATCATTGGATCCTCCAGTGATTGTGAGTATCACATCGAAGGTTGTGGCTGGGTTGTTGATTGTTGTTTGAATGGGTTGGCTCGTGGGTTCTGGTTTTACTTGATGTTGTTGTGGCTGGGTTGGTGGTGGCGGGGATGGATTTGGGTGGGGCAGGGTGGATTTGGGTGGAGCGGAGGTGGCAAGTTGTGCTGTTCGGGTAGATAGTTTAGGTTAGCTTCAATCGAAGCTAGGTACTCATCCATTTGCCTGAGTTCTTCCTTGGCTTCGTCTGCCTTCTGCCTTATCACTTGTAGGCGTGCCTGCCTCTGGTGGGCTTCAACTTGACCCTTTTCACTTGGAGCTCCTCATCCATTTGGTTTAGGGCCTCGAGGCCTCTCGCCTCTGCATTTTCGTCGTCGTCTTCCGGTACGTGGCCGATTTCTTCCGTTCTGGACGGTTTGGGTTGGCGATTGGCCCTGGCTTCGGCTGCCTCGGCCCCATTTGACTCGAGTTGTGTTCTCGTTGGTTGAGCAGTGGGTTGGAGTACCAGAGTCATGCCGGCTCCGCTTGCGGAGGTTCCCGCTGCCGGGTCCGATCCTCGCGGCGGGGGCGGATCCGTTTGGGTGTTTCTTCTTGTTGTTGCCATTGTTTTCGAGGAGTGGCGGAATGGGGTCCCCACGGATGGTGCCAACTATGTTGTCACTCCTAGCCTCTCGCCCTCGCTGAAGGACACGGGGGGAGAGGCCGAGGGTTTCCCACAGGTGAATGACTAGACTGACGTGAAGGGATGAACGAAGGTACAGGAAACCGAGGACATGGAAAATTACAGATTCAATGCCCATTAATTTGTCTAGAAAAGTTCCACCTTTTTCTTACACGAGCGCGCCGGGCATTTATAGGCCATACCTGAAGACGTGGTGGAGTTACATTAGGGTTAGACCCTAGCCGGTAAACGCTATATAAGAGCCAGGGGTACAGCGGTAATCTCCTTTCCTTAGCCAACCACTCCCAGGTCTAATTGCTGATGGGACGGTTCTTTCCCGTGGCAGGTAACGACCTTCGCACGGCCCCAACGAGGGTTTGTTCGACGTCACCATCTTGCGACCTTCTCGCCACGCTCCTCTAGCGCAGCTGACCTTCGATCGTGCCCCCTGAACACAGATGAAAAAAGCCAATCAAGGGCACCCTCGTCGCGGGGGTGGTGCCCAGGACAAGGGCGGGTTAGTTGAGCCAGCGCCAGGTCGAGGGTTAGGGGAGGAGCGGTGCCGTGGGTGCCTCCCCCCAACAACTATATGTTGCAAGCGTCTATTTCAAGTGTTTCAAATGTTTTAGAGGTATGTTGCAAGTGTTTTATATCGATGTTGCAAAAGTAGATTGAGATGTTGCACATGTTACAATGGTGTTTTCAAGTGTATGTCCCAAATGTTTTATCTGTTTTGGATATATGTTGCAAGTGTTTCATCTGGATGTTGCATATACATGTATGTTTCAAGTGTTTCATACATATGTTGCAAGTGTTTTATCTAGATGTTGCATATGTTTTGCAATGGCTACAAACATGTTTTACTGGTGTTTTAGATGTATGTTGCAAGTGTTTCAATTGTTTCAGACATATGTTGTAAGTGTTTCATATAGATATTGTAAAGTAGATCTTGGTGTTGTACATGTTGCAGCGGGATCCATCTGCAGCAGCCACCTGTTGCAGTTGTTGAGCCCACCTAGATGCGCGTGGGTGTGGAGGGGACGCCGCGGTGCGGGCGCGGGTCACGAAGCTGCGCGGGGCATGGTGCAGGTGCGGGACATGGAGTGGCATGGGCCCCCACGTGAAGCAGGCGAGGGCGTCCGGATGCTAACCCCGTCCGGATGTCCGGGCGCTAGACGTTCTGAAAGAAGATACGTGGAGGGTACAGCCAAAAATAGTGGCGTCACCCGGCTTCACCTCGCCCTGGTAGGCCCTGCATGAGGTTCTATAAGAGTATGTTTTAAGGAGCTTTACGTGTAGAGCTGTTTTGCCAAATGATTTGCCAAAATGACTCCAGCTTCATCAATGGAGCTGTTCATGGACCTTTGACCAAACAAAAATATTAGCTCATCACATTCAGTAGAGGTAGAACTATTAATTGTTCCATATCTAATGCAACGTTGTCAATACTAATATAGGCGTAGTAGCATATATTCAGATTCAATTTTAAAATTCTAATAAAGCCAAACCATAGTTCATATATTCAAGGTCATGGACCATTCAACTAAATCGCCGTAAGCTCTACTACCCTTCTTATGGCATGTTTGGTACAGCTCAGCTTCACTAATTAACCAGCTTTTGTTGGCTTTGGCTCTAAAAGCACCTTTACAGGTAGAGTTGAAAGCTTCTTCTGTTAGGCAAAAGGACAAATGACCATAATGCCCTTGTTTTCTTCTCGTTTTTCTTTTTTCCGTTCCCATCTTATCTGGTCAACCATCCTCTCCTCACGCACCCTTCTCGTCCGTGTCGCTCGTCCTCCGTCCACACCCTAGTCCCGACCAACGCCTTCCTGAACACGCCCCGCCTCGGACCCGGCGACTCCACTCCTGCCCTAGCTTCGGCGACTCTGCTCTTGCCCCGGCTCCGACGACTCCACTCCTAGCCCAGCCCTAGCGACTTCGCTCCCACCCTGGCACCGGCGACTCTGCTCCTGCCCCGGCCCCGGTGACCAGCGCTCACCTTGCCATGGGGGCATTTACTCTCACTCCCCTCTTCTCTCAGCGTGTTTTTCATGACTTCTTGGGTGAAGCGGACCGACGAGAGACCATTTAGTTGGACAACAGGTGAATCTGCCGGTGAAGCGGTACCAAACAAGTCCTTATTCATCACATTGTGGATAACAATGGATTTAGGAGATCTCTAACAAATACAGGGATAGGAAATGTGATAAAAAATTTGCTAGAGCTGTTCAATCTCTTATTTAAGGGGTAGAAAGAGTATAGGAGAGCTGATGGATATCCTCTTGCCGTCGCCTATTGGCCTTCTACATCCAATTGTACTCGATTGAGAAATTGCTGAAGTTGTCAATCTTATTTGGCATGTCAATAGCTATGATGTGTGTAGTGTGTTGCAGGGCTGTCGGCCCGGCCCACAGCCAGGCTCGTGTCAAGGCCACTTGACCGGGCTCGGACCAAGAAAAGTTTCGTCGGGTCCTATTGACATCACTAGATTCAAACTAGGTTTAAAAATAGATCTTCTTTTTAATTCGTGACAATTTTATAGTTATTATTATTAGCCAAAGTTTGAAAACAATGATTTGGCTTAAACCTAGCTTAGATGGACTCATGGCTCTGCTCGATGGTGCTACAAGTGCAATAGTAGCAGAAGCGAGCACAACTTGGGAACCCAAGAAAATTTTGGTCGTGTCCAATTGGCATCATTAGATTCAAACTATGTTTGTGATCCGAGGATGATTTATTTTCTCCCTGTTCACCATTGTAGTTCATGGAGTATTACCTCAACTTGGTAACCCAATATTTCTTATGTAATTTTTGTTTTTGTTTTTGTAAGAATGCTTCCAGTTGAAGCGAAATGATGCAAATTATTAACTAAAATAATTAAGCACAACACCGCCGTTGTATCCTCAGTGAAGCACTAAACATCTCCGTTTTGGATAAATTGTATTTGACCCGGCCGCGTATTGCATTTATACTCAAGTAGAACATGCTTTTAGAATCCTTTTTACTAAAAGTATACAGACAACACACAAAAGAAAGAAAGAGTATTACATATTTTATATAAAAAATAAAGTAGTGGCAAGGAGATGGACTGCAAACAGTTGTGTGCATTCTAGGGAGCTTTCTAAGCCTTCATATGGTGGGAGGCCTTCGGACCTTGGTAGCCTGCTCAAACGCATAGGCCATCTCGATGAGCCTGGGCTCATAGCCCCTGAGCCCACCGAAGGTGACGCCAAAGGGGACGCCCTTCTCGTCGTACCCAGCTGGCACTTCGATTCCGGGGAGGCCATTGTAGGCAAGGACGGTGGCGACTCTCGAATCAGGTGTAAAAATCGCGTCGAGCTGGTGTTCCTTCATCAGCTTCTCCACCCCGTTTGCCGACAACTCCTCCATCCGATGTATCGCAGCTCTCTCCAGGGGGCCGATGCCCGTGGTGGTTTCAGATAAGAGCAGGAGCTGCTGATCGTACTCTACCAGCTTCTCCTGCAGTCCAAATTTCAGTACGTTGTTAGATTCAAGACGAAGAGTTGAGAAAGTACAACTAACTCATTACTGATTCGAAAAATCGAAGGTTCAGATTGACTAAAACAAACCTCGAAAGGATGGATGGCGTTGAAAGCTATGATTTCAGCTAGGGAGCCGACTGGAGTGTAGGATAAGTCAGAGAGGTAGTTGTTCAGGTTGATCTTGAACTCTGCTGGCGCGGCAACCAGGAATCCACTCTTGGTGATGTCCCGTGACTCGCTCAGATTCTCTATGTCCAGGTTCTCGATCACGATTGCTCCAAGTCGCCTTAAAACAAGAGTATGTAACTGAGTAACTAGATTGCTTTGATTATGATCGAAAAGGAAATGATGACCAATCCTGTTGACTGTTCGATCATGAATTTATGGAAAGAGTAACTCTATTGTAAATTACTCTTACTTACCTCATTGTTTCGATATGCTGCTTGTACACTGTGGTCATCACTGTCTTTGTTTCGAAGTGAAAGAAGCCATTTGGGATACCAATCCTCTTGCCACTTAAGCCGTCGATCTTCAGAAACTGCTTGTACCCGCCTTTAGGGATGTACTGGGACGCTGCCATTGTGGCTTCAGCGTCAAGGGCATCGTAACCGACAATAGCATCCAGCACGTGGACAGCGTCCGCTACGGTGCGACACAATGGTCTGCATTTTGGGTTAATTGGGAGCAAAACCAACGTGTTAATCACTTAATTGACAAGTTCGTTCAGCTAGCTCAAAAGTCAACACACACACACACACACACACACACACAAATTAATTGCAAGTTAAACATGCAGGGATTGCTGCTAGGTAGTCATCTTAATTACCCGACAGTGTCCTGCCTAAGCGTGAAGGGGATGACGCCGGAGCGACTGGTCAAGCCAACTGTTGGCTTGATCCCGACCACTGCATTCACGGACGCCGGGCAGAGTATGGAAGCTATGGTTTCGGTCCCGAGTGTCACGGCTGCCATGTTGGCCGCCGCGGCGATGGCTGAACCGGTGCTTGCTTCGCATGGATCCATTTCCAGCACGTAAGGGTTCTGCGACACGACGTACGATGCATGCATGTCAGACGAAGCAAGCATACCATGACGATGATTGAGGAAGAAGCTAGTCGTCATACATACCATGGCTTGTCCGCCTCGCGCGCTCCAGCCGTGGAGGCCCCTGGCGCTGCGCATGTTGCCCCACTCGGGGAGGTTGGACTTGCCGAGCACGATGGCGCCGGCGCGCCGCAGCCTGGCCACCACGCCGGCGTCGCGCCTGGCCACGGAGCCGAGCAGCGCGAACGACCCGGCCGTTGTGTTCAGCCGGTCGCGCGTCGTGATGAGGTCCTTCACCATCACGGGGACGCCGTGGAGGAGCCCGCAGCCGGACGACGACGCTTGGCGGTAGGCGCCGGACGCCCGCTCGGCGTCGGCGTGGGCCGCGTCGCGGAGCGCGTCGGGGTTCACCTCGATGACGGCGTGGAGCTTCGGGTTCAGCCGCGCGATCTGGTCCAGGTAGTAGCGGACCAGCGCCGTCGACGTCAGGCTGCCTTTCTTGAAGCCGTCCTGGATGCTCTCGAGGGTGGCCTCTTCGAACTGGAACGCGGCGCCGCCGGCGGTGACGGTGAGAGCAACGGCCGCGGCCAGGAGCAGCAGTCTCTGCCAAGCCATGCTGCCTGCCTGCCAGTGTGCTGATTCTGCCACCTGATGAGATGAATGCCGCACCGCACTGCTATCTATGTATAGACCCGACATACATTGGATATATAGCTCCTCCGGGATCCCATATCAGGATGTCAATCTTTGAAAGTATTTTTATGTCATTTTTGTCGCTAGACCTTACCTGCTTGAATAATGATGTTACCCTGTTAACAACTCCGCCCACAGATGACTTTTTGCTATGGGAATTCCCGTTGTTTTTTACTGACACGGAGCTTCCTGTGTTTGACTTCATTTTGGCTTCCCTAGCGTTTGTTGAAACCGGGAATATTCTCCTAGGCCATGGTTAATAATAATATAGGGTCTATTCTTAAAAAAAAAAAGCAGCACATTTAACGGGTGACCGCTGACTAGCTAGATGGTGGATGCCACGTTCCTAAATCCTAACCTGACTGAATGGGAGTCAGAGAGGGCTGTGACATGATCTTCACCGACTAGCTTCGAGCTGTTGCGGGGGTGGAGTTTGCCGAGCTTGTTGGCAACAAAGTAGCAAGGATGAGATTGATGCGATAATAAAATCTCTGCCATCAGATAAGGCACCTAGCCCCAGATGGCTTCGATACAGATTCTGTTAGAAGATGTTGGCCAATCATTTGTGAAGACTCTTATAGGCTCTGTGATGCTTTTTACTCTGAACAATTATGTCTTCAAAGCATAAATGGCTCCTACGTCACTCTAATCCCTAAGAAGGATGATGCACTCAGAGTAGCAGATTATAGACCAATCTCCTTGTTGAATACTTTAGTTAAAATTTTAACCAAGATTCTGGCGAACAAGCTTCAAGTTGTTCTACCGTCACTGGTACGTAGGAATCAATATGGTCTAATTATTCTAATGGTTGATTTTGAGAAGGCTTTTGATAAAGTGGAGCATATAGTTTGATGATGCAAATTATGGAATATAAAGGCTTCCATAAAAATGGTCGAACTGGATGAAGCTAATTTTTGGTTCTGGAACATCTGCAGTTCTTTTGAATAGAGTTCCTGGGAAAGTTTTTCATTGCAGAAGAGGGGTTAGATAGGGTGATCCTTTATCACCTTTTCTTTTTGTCCTAGTTGCTGAGCTTCTTCAGACAGTGCTTAATTCATCCAGAAGGAATAGTCTATTGGCCCTCCCAATCCCTCTATGAAATGATGAGGATTTTCCTATTCTACAATATGCAGATGATACTCTCATATTTATGCAGGCTGATGTTGCTCAGTTGAATCATCTGAAGGATATCCTAGCTGAGTTTGCAGGATCTACTAGTTTGAAAGTAAATTTTGATAAGTCCTTTATGGTTCCTATCAATGTGTCTGACGAAAGAATAGACATTTTAACCAACACTCTGGGTTGTTCTCAAGGTTCTCTACCTTTCACCTACTTAGGCCTTCCATTAAGCATAACCAGGCCTTCGGTAGCTAACTTTTGGCCTCTGGTCTCCAAGTGTGAGAGAAGATTGGTCGTTTTTTCTTCTTTTCTCTAAGTGATGCTGACCGCCTCACAAATGTTGTTCTTTCTGCTCTACTAACCTATGCAATGTGTACCTTTCTGCTACCAAAAAATAGTCATTAAGCAGGTTGATAAATTTAGAAAACACTGCTTATAAAGTGATCCTGATTTAGACAATAAAAAGCCTTCAAAAGCAGCTTGGACAATGGTTTGTTTACCTAAATTGGAAGGTGGCTTGGGAGTCATAGCTCTGTCAGTTGAAAGCCTGTTGATAAAAAATTTGCATAAATGCTATAATAAAGTTGATGCTCTCTAGGTCTCTTCAATTAATCTGGGATCACTATTATATAAGAGATAGGCTGCTTTATATTGGGAGAACTTCAAGAGGATCTTTTTGGTGGCATGATATTCTTAAACTACAAGTGCAATTCAAAGGTATGACTATGGTCTTTGTGAATAATGGCTCATCATGTTTTTTGTGGCATGATCTATCGGAGGGATCAGTTCAGGCTTTTCCAGAGATTTTTTTTCCTATGCTAAGAATCACAAGCACCCTTCAAGACCTCTTTCATTTTGCCCCTCTCTAGTGAAGCTTAAGCATAATTTCAAGAGCTTCAGTTCATTCTTCAGAACTTACAAATGCAGCAACCTCATGATATCTGGTCATATATTTGGGGATCCTCCCTTTTGTCCTCCAAAGAGGTTTATACGCACCTTTTGGGACATCGTTTTGTGCATAGGGTATATAAATGGTTATGGACTTCAGCATTTTAGAACAAAAGAAAGTTCTTCTGGCTCATTCTAAAGTATTGGTCTAGCACTAGATTCCTCCTTAGACGGCGACATATGCATCTCCCAAATTATAATTGTGTTTTCGAGGAAGATCTTCTTCATCTATTGTTCCATTGCCCTTGCCCAGGCCTGTTGGTTCACTGTCACTCTTTACTTGCCAAACTCTGATGATATCTTGGTTATCTTGGAAAGCATCAAAGATTAGATAAATCAGCCCTTTTTATGGAAATAATTATTACAATGTGTTGGGTTATATGGATTATGCACAATGACATCATTTTCAAGAATCTCTTTCACTAAGTTCAAAGATGCAAGTCTGTCTTCAAGAAAAAATTTGCTCTAGTTATTCTAAGAGCAAAAGCAGCACATCACCCTTTTATAGACTTAGAAGGCTTTGTGTAATTCTAGCTATTTTATTTTTGACTTTTTTGTCTCTTGATTTAACTTTGTAACTCTTTTTACTCTTTAATAAAATTACAGTAGGAGTTTAAACCCCTCCTATTCCATAAAAAAAAGTATAGGCTCTAAAATCAGAAAGCCTAGTTCTTCGCCAAGGTGACGGTGAGGGCCAACTGCTCCACCGAGTCGACGATCAAGTCTATTTTAGCCTTGAGCAAAATGGATGACAAAGTTCATCCTGTCTCTCTCTCCATCCTAGATTGGCCTCTACTCAATCTGCTTCATTCTTTCGATTCAACAAAATGTAATCAGCAAGTTCACGCAGGGAGCTTCTTCATCCTATGCCTCACGCTAAGCACGTTCATGGCTGCAAGCGTCGGAAAGCAGTCGCACGGATTCAGAGAACATGCTCCGCCACATCACGCCAACAAGCGGCTCGAACAAAGCACGACGCGAGCTCGTGAGTCTTGTCACGCACAACGCGCAGCTCAGCGAGCCTCTTGAATGAGCAGCTCCTCCGTGCAGAGTTTCCTCAGACCGTGTTACTTGCATCGCAACGTGAGCGCCGCCGATCTCGCTGCGGAGGCTCTCCACGGTCACCGTGTCGACCTTGCCGCGGGGGCTCGCTCTGCGATCACCGTCAAGCTCGCCTTGGGTGCTAGCTCCACGGTCACCGTGGACGCTGCGCGATCATCGCCAAGCTTGCCGTGGGTGCTCGCTCCTCAGTCGTTGCCAACCTGGCCGTGGAGCATGGTCGTCGTGGCTGGCTCCTGGCTACGGGGGCTTGCCTGCTTGTGCGCTAGTACATTTTGTCCACCCCGTGGGAACCGTTTTATCCGCGGGTTGCAAACCGCTAGAACTATTGTTTTAACGGATTGGGTTGGTTTTTTGCCCAAAAAACCGTATAAACCGGACCATGTAGGCCTAGATCCAAATGCGTGAGTCCTGCGTGGCGTGCTGATTATCTGTAATTTTTTGACCGGCTGATTATGAGGACATGTTATGCATAATGGATATATATACAAAATTTATATGGGTGAAGAACCGAGAATGGCAACCACAGGGGGATGAACGGGAGCTAAGATTATTTTTACTGAAACTTTGACCGCTGTCCTAAATCACACCCAAAAACTCGAAACACCCAAATGAAGACACCGATGCCAACTAGGTGACAGGATGCACTCAACAGCGACTTAGAAACACAGCGAACCAAAACCTAGAGCGGTGCAGCGAGCGGAGCAACGAAGCACCAGTAAACAGCACCGCTGTACAAACAGCCAAGTCGGCTTGGCCGATTGAGATCGGCCTAGTCCTTCGCCAAATTCAGAAAGCTTATTTGACAAAGTAGTATAGGCTCCATCGCCAAAATCAGAAAGCTGATTTGACAAAGTATAGACTACATATTTAGGGATGGACGTGGATGTCCAGGTATCCGAAAGATCCGATATCCGTATCCGTTTTAGTGCAAATATGGACATTCATTTTCGTATTCGATTTTAATATGGATGTATCCGCATTCGTTTTTGAAGATCATTCTTTATCCGATTCCATATACATATTCGACAAAAAAAGTAAAATATCCCATATTATCCGTATCCTCGAAGTATAACTTATTTTGAAACCATCTAAATCTTATAATTATGACTAATTAACTATGTAAATAAATTCCCAAAAAAAACTATGTAAATAAAATAATTTTAACATAACAGATAATATGTATCATTATTTAAAAGTTATCTATGACTAATGTAATTTTAGTATTATTAGTGATATATAAATCGTAATTTTAATTAATTTTAACATGGCTAACCATATTAATTAGTTTATTTAATTTATATACTTATAGAATTTATTTTTATTTATTATCTATAACTTTCTTATGTTTATATATTTAATTATTGAAATATTGATAAAAATATTTTATCTTTGGTAGTTGTCTTTATCCATGGTGGTATATAGCTATATTTTAAGTTTCTTCATCTATAAACTATCAATAAGCCAATAGATACATGTTATCTTCAGAATCAAGTGGATATTCGAATTCGAGATATCCATTTTGCATTAGCATCCGACAATATGTGTATCCGTATTCAAATACGGATTAAAATGTGGTAAATAGTGGTATCCGAATCCATATCCGTTCGAATCCGATCCGAATCCGTCCTGCTCCATAATCAGAAAGCCTAGTCCTTCGCCAAGGTGACGACGAGGGCCAACTGCTCCACAGAGTCAACGATGAAGTCTATTTTGACGAAGCTGATCGCCTAGCCTATAGCAAAATGGATGACAAAGTTGTTATTCAAGAAACACATCATGTTCTGGTGGATCCA